CCTATCTTTTTCATCACTTAGCAAGCCAATGTATCATGACTAAATAGCTTTACACTTACACCTACAGCAGCCCGAATGGCATAACGAACGGCTCGATCAAGCGATGCTTCATCGTTAAATATTGGCAGAGGCGGAAAATCAAGGGACGCCATCGCAGCCGTGGCGCGAGATCGGTTCTAAATTGAATGCGAGTGAGGGTAGCAAAATGAGGAAATAGAAAATCCGTTAACACATTAACGACAGCCCCTTGTGGCGTGTACGTCGGCACCTTTTTGTTTATTTTTTTCACAATCATCAAAACTTTTTCAATCAATTTCAACTAACTTGGTGATGTGGATGCACATAGCTTCTTCGATTGAATATACATGTACCCTGTTCTGAAACATATGGAAATGCCAGATAGAATAAATAAAAAAAACTAGCCAGAATCGGGTGAAATTGAGATGCGCCTAACTGTCTTCAATGTGTTAAGGTCAATAAATCATCTAATCACCTTTTTCTTCTTCTTTCTGCCTTTCTCATTCCTTTTCTGAGAAGAACCGCACGGCGCGAGCGGTTGTACTGGCACGTTCGAATCATTTCCACATGCCTGAATAAGAAAACAACTTTCCGCAGATGAACGACGGGTCAAGCAAATTAGGACTCCGACGTACCTCAGGCAAATGGAGCACGGCCACCTGACTCACACCTGGGACCGTTTCGTCTATCAATGCGTGGCATACCTGCAAAACGAGCATTACTCTGGAAATTCACAACGACAACTATCACAAACCTGTAAAGATGGATGGAACCCGGGAAACTGCGCAAGCCCGAAATGAGCGTTATTTGAGGACAACGGACAATTGTTAGCATCTTGGATGGAATTCAACAATATAGCCGCCTAAAAGTGGAGTTAAACTGAGAAAAATTCAAAATAGATTTGTTTTGTCATACTGACAAATAAGAAATATGGTTCAAGTTACCTGGTGACTACTGCTGACCACAGCTGCATCTTGGCCTCCAGTTCCACGAATAACCTTCCATATCCGGTCGACCGCTGTTCGGTGGTACGTACGCAATAGCGCTGCCAACTTAAGAAAAAAACCACGTTGGAAAATCGAGCAAATCTATTTGAGCAAATTCACAAAGAAAAATTTGAATCAAAAAACGTATTCATACAGACCCAAATCAAGTGTAATAGTGTAAAAAAAAGTGCTGAATATCAAAAAAGTTACCTGTCTTCGATTCTGCGGAGAAAGCATCGGATTCAGCACAGCACATCGCCAGAGCACAACAATCTCATCGCAGAGCTGAGCACTATTTAACTGTGCGCTAATCTGATTGCTTGCAGAGTTTTTGCCTGCAATAGAATTACATGATTACTAGTATTTTCAGCGAAGGAACTATCAGCAGTTCTTGATCTTACTGTTGATAAATTTGTCGAAAAATCAATGGTAATAAGATTTTCTCTGAATAAAGCTAATACAATATAACAAACCTGTGGTTTGTTGAGACCAAGTTCCACTCTGCACGAGTTTCGTCGCATACCACCACAGCAAAATCTAAAAATAGCAAACTCATGTTTCACATTAACGTCCACAGAAGTCTCAGCTCTCATTCAGTGTAAGAAATCCAACACGCGAAACAAATTCACATGAAAACCTGGAATCTACTACTATATGGGTGTACCTTAACGGTGACCCACCTGGCAATTAGCAAGACATTCCACAGTCAATATGCTCAGCAATGACACAGCATTCTCGTCTCTGCGTGCGAACATCTCGCGTACGATAGCCATGAGATTCCAAATGCCTTAAGAGAAAAGGTGAGTTCTGCTGTACAAAAAACTGCCTTTGAATCTCACCTTCAGGTTCCCTAGCACGCAAAGACTTCATCACCGTTAACCATTCTGCCGCTTTCGAATCGCGTTAGCCGTACCACAAGATAGCTGGCACATCACTGCAAAATAAATGACGTAGGAAAAAAGTAAGAAAAGCAAGGGATGAATAGACAATTTTAAAAGCAATCCATAAAACGTGAATGAAAACAAACCAGTGTACAGTTGGAGCAGTGGAGCGCAAGTACTTTGATCAACACAGCGGCGAATACTTGTGTTGTAAGCCTTCAACATCGGGATGTGCCCAATAGCAGTCTGACGCTGAGTGTGTGTCTGAACTAGCTGATAATAATGGATATGGAAGGTTGTACCAGTAATGTAAAGGCAGCAGATAAATTTTCAACGACTTATATTATGAGAAGCTCAATGAGCGGAGATCGCAATTCACAACACTACTTATGCCATGATCAACCCTAGTTCGTTGACCCGCCATCCGATGGATCCGGAGCTCCGTGAGACTGATTAATCTCCGATTCCGGGCATTTTAACTGATCCAGCAATCTTTGAGCAATTGGAAGATACTAAATCATTTCACATACGTAGTTTTGAAATTACAACACATCAAAAACACTTCAAAAGCGTTAAGCTGTATAAACTATAGTCACCTCTTTCGGCAGCTCATTGACCAAATACTGTGCAAACTTTTTGAGCTTATCCACAGAGAGTTCGTTGACTGAGTCCCAAATCGTTACTCTGAACAGCTTTTGCTTTACCTGCATTATTTGAAATTATGTTTGCCTCGAAACTGCAAAAGAGAAGTATAAAATAGGGCCATAGTGTTCGACAAGGCAGGGTCTAGGCAAAGTTTTTGCCATCCCCTCATGGCCCCCTCTCCATGCACGAGTGTGCGATAAGAACAGGATGCTGGTTCCTGTTCTTTTCTTTGGACTCTGTACCCTTCTTAAACACCCGATAGAACCATTAAAAATGTTCTGCGATGTGATAACTCATCCCACCAGAGTAGTGAGTCTAGTACATTTAATGAACGGATTAACTCTTATACTAGGATCCTCAGCGAATGCAGCGAGATATAAAACGGCTGAAACGAGTCAACACTTCTTCCTAGCATCTTGCGTAATCGCAAATAAACAGACAAGCACACATGATTACCCATGTAAAAGCAAAGCGTGTGCTAATCTGCTAACACAACGAAACAAGCACCACTAAAACCTTCACCTAAATTGAACCTGCGTTCGGTTTGGTCGAGATTCTCAAACAAAAACAAAGCAGCAACAACATGTTGGCACCAATGGCTCGCATTTAAGACGGCAAGCAACAAGCTCAACGAGACACCCTGCCACTGCAAAAAACAGCAACTTTCGAAGTTTTCTCAGAATTCCAGCTTGAGCACTTAGATTACAATATACACACTTTCGAATAAGATCCTCTCAACACCGCTTGGTAATAGATATCACTTGTGCGCGTCGCGGTAGGTATTAGAAGCTTTTCCGGATAACATTAGGTAAAATAATTATAGGCCCACGTACCAGGTACAGGCGCGTGCCTGACACGATGTTTCGCCCTATTCTTAGTTTTTGCGTATTTTCCGCTCTAACTGACCCGCAAAGGTTACACGCACGTACGTAATCTGCTACACTCATTCAAACATGTAGGGCAAAGCGAGACTACCAATCAGGAAGTACTTGTGCACTGACTGTACTGACTAGCTGGAGGACAACTAGCTAATACAAAAATAACTAAGCATCTCTATTTTGACAACAATGGATACTGAAAACAACTAATCAAAATTAACATGGTATAGAAAAAGAACCAACCTGAATCTACACTCAATGATACATTGTGAGTAATACGACTAGGCCGTTGGATTTGTACACAATCTTGATGAGACGCACAAACTGTCGCTGAGAGTAAGTATCCTGCAAAACAAATACGGCAACTACGAATGGATATTCAGGCCAAAATACAGTGGAAGGGTTTTCACTTCTTCAACCAGATGAGGCACGCTCATGCGACTGTTCAGATGTTGTAGCAGAGACCGAAAACATGGTGAATTTTATGCGTAGATCCCGTATACAGGAGTAGTTAGCCAATGCTCAACACATGTAACCTGCCAAGTCCTTTGGCTTATTTTCTTGATGACCGAGGAGATAGGTAAAAGAGAAAAAACCTCCCGAGCAAACTCTTTTCCTGCGACCATTAATACAGAGGAATCAAATAACAAGAACTGTCCACTGTGAGCGCAAAACTTTTTCACAGCGGAAATAAACAAGAAAATAGCATATTTGCACAGAAGATATATGAAAAAGATACAAAATAAAACTTGTCACCTAACCTATTTGTACAACATCACGAACCGCTCCTATTTGATACAAGCTGTCGCCATGATTGAACTCGTCCGCATTCCCATTTGCGAGGCAACTACAATATCGTCATTGGAAATGTAGCCGTAAAGACAATTTAGAAAAGGATTTAGCACCAAAAAAGCAAGAAACACGGATGTACTGCCCTACTTTATGTCCTATTCAAGTGGCTGTATTTGCTGCATTTAGTGACCCAAGCGGGTCAACAAAATCCACTGCGTAAGTAACGTAACAAAATGTCATCCACGTGAAATGCGAAGAAATCGATACAAGAAGAGTTTGTCGCATTTGAAATGCGATCAAGAATATTCAAAACTAAAAATTCCCTGGAAAAAGCTTTGATAATCTATGAGGATTTTCTCCTGCGGTCCAAACAGCTTGTCAAAAATGATTTAGCACTACGAACCGCATGTGACACATTATGGGGCACGCAAACACACGGATAAGAATCAATTTGTTTGATTTATTCAACCTTTTTAATGCACCAAATTTGAGTTGCATGCACATGTCTGAGGATCCAGAAAACAACATTCATTCGGCTAATAAAGCTATTGATAGGTGCCTGATTATTGATGCAAACAGAACACAGAAGTATGGAATTTCGCTCAATTCGGCAGCATGCAATCTGTTATAGCATTTGTACCTACTGTTTGAAACAAGCTCAAAAACAAAAGCAAAAAAAAAAATAAAGGTCTTTGGAAAAATATCGAACCTGTACAATCGTATATCATCAGCTGTCGCTGGGAAACACCAGAACACAACGGAAAGAAACAACTTGTCCGGCAACGAGTGGGATACAGGAAATTCACTAGTCTGGAAAGCCACAAATGCATATAAATACTCAAACATAAACAAATAGCAGTAAATAATAAAGCCACACGAATAATAATGCCAAAA